TAATGAAAATGTGTCTGAAATATCTGTTTATTTGGCAAATATTGCATTTATTTCACTTAGGCTGTAAAGCATGCAAACACCACGTTAGCCGTCACTACGGGAACCAGAAATTGTCCGACTTCACGTCTCCATTTGCAGCTCGTCCCCGCCTGCACGCGGCTATTCTCGCCGATCGGTTGCATCCAGCCGCAGGCGATGTCGAACACACCTAATGGCTACGTTTACACTGCAGGCTGAAACGACCTAATTCCGATTTTTTTGCCCCTATGCGACCTGTATCTGATTTTTTCATGACAGTCTGAACGACACAGATCCGATCTTTTCAAATGCGACCCAGGCCACTTGGGTATGTGGTCTAAATCCGATATGTATCCGATCTTTTGAAATGCGACTTCAATCTGAACGGCCAGGTCACATATATCCGACCCGCACGTCATTGCACGCACCTGTAGCTAGCCAATACACGCTAACTCCAACGCGTTTCCTCACTGTTATGGGCCACTGCAGACAAGTCTCTTCCCCAGTGTTGTGCCTGAACGCGTTCAATGAACGATAGTGCATGAACGCGTTCATATTTTCGCGCATCATATTATTCACGTTCGCCCGAAATAAACATACTGTATTACTGCCTGATGAACATTACTGTGAACACGTTCATTCTGGTGTATGTGAACGTGCGCTCTCTGTCAGTATAACTTTGTACAGTAGGGTGCCAGATATAGAGCCTTCCAAGCGAAAACCTGGCTAAAACACATGTGAACATGCCTTAAAATGTAGCGAATAACCACCCAATCTGGCAACACCGCGGCCGCCGGTGACAAAGCAAGGAGCGCCGCAGACACGCACTATCAATTAAACGGGTTTTATGATGAGGTCGGTGAGGATCGGAAAAATCTTACATTTATGTGCAAACTGCCCGTCGATAAAATAATTATTGTCTGTGTTTGTATATGGGCTGTGGCAATAATAATAATAAAACAAAAGCTCGCAACATATGGAAAAAAAGAATTATTCCGCAAACAACAAGTGACGTCGTTGACCGTTGATTACTCTTCTGCGCATGCGGGTCACTTCTGGGTCATTTTGCGTTCACACAGGAGATCAAAGGTCACATTTAATTGGAAATGTGAACGGCCTTGCAAAAAAATCGCATTTTTAAAAAAAATCGGAATTGAGCATTAAGCCCTGCAGTGTGAACGTAGCCAAAACGTCTAACCTACCTCTAGCCATTTTAACGCTATTTCAGTTCAACCCATGGTGTAAATGATAATCACGCTAAAATATGAGGTGACATCGGCTAATTTCTGACCATGGGACAGTGATTGATCCTATAAATGACAACTATAAGCCTTCGACTTTTGATGATGGAGGTAATCTGTATATCACATCCCAGTTTAACTCTCCCTCAGTTGTCTTCCACTATTTTATCTTATCTATTCCTACAACCAGCACAGCTGAAATCCTGTTCCAGTGAGTTATGATCTTTCGAGGTCTAAATCAACCTATAAATCATGCTGCAGTCGAAATACAAAGACAGAGTTTTTGTAACCAAAAAACAAACAAACAAACAAACAAACAAACAAAAACGGTCAGTTAAACTGGAAAGGGAAAAAATAAACCCTAAGTAGATTTACACAAACTGAGAAAGTCAAAAATCTTTAGGTTGTGCCCCGCTCTCCCCTATGTAAGATCTGCTTGTGATCCATCTTCGCTGTGTTGACGACACATACAAAATTCGAGAGTATTTGCTAAAAACCGATGCTCACATAATTTTCAGTGTAATTAATGACATTTTGATCCGTGGTGTCACACACACACAAGTGAACTTGATTGCCGTTGCCGAACCACCGACGAAGAATATTTTTTTGGGAAGTTTGTTAAAATACTCTTCACAAAGGCTCGGTCTTCTACCGGTTGATATTTGTTGCATGCAGCATGTATAATAGGCAGTGGGTTAAATGTTGGCCTGTTGGATTCGGTCTCTTGACTGTGGCAGCTAATGTGAAACTCTTCTAAAGAATTCTAATGATAACTGTACTCCCACAAAGGATATTGTATTGGAGATATACATTCAAAACATATTAAAGGGTAATATGAGCAAAGACTAAGCTAGATTCCTGTAAAAACAAAAAATAATAATACATATTATAATATATATCATGCCTGACGTTGTTGAGTGCCTGAACCACAATCAGCAATAATAAGTATAGTTCAGTAAAAAATACATGCATAAATACCTTTAAGTGGAATGAATAACTCTGCTGTATGGCGTCAGTCTCATTGCTGGCAGATACCTCAAAATAGACCTATAGAGAAACAAAATGAATAAAAAAAATATATATTGTTGACCACAATATCATGTTATCATAATAGTTAAATGAATTTTTATAACTACAAGCAATGTAACATTATATTTGTAGCCTACCTCATTTAGCTGATTATTTATCTATAGTCTTTTTCTCAATGAAACAGCCTGGGGCAATTTAAAATTGTTTTAACCTTTAAATATTTCAGAAAAAAGCCGAGAGTGTTATAATACTGTAATATTACATATATTTTAATATAATTTTAATAAACGTATAGTATATTGAACAACTTAAATTATACACAATTTATCAGTATTTTAAGAATAATTTAGAAAAATGTACGGAGTAGTTATTACAGATAAACTATATAACAAAACTGTAATTAATTTTGTTTGACACACAAAAAAATCAACAATTAAATAACAGATGATCTTCTGCCACTGCCACCCTCTCGGTCTGGAGCATAACGGAGCCATCTCTTTACTGCCTCGGAAAAGTCTGCCTTGGAGGCCTCTTTTCCTTGGGCTGTATTTCTTAATGCACCTGAAACATTATGGAACAAAATGAAGAGTTCAGATCCAAAAGCCTCTAAGTGCCATTTGAAATTTTCTTCTATAATGATACATTTTATCAAGCTTGTATATTTAAGTTCAGTAATTTCACTCAAATTGAAATGAAGATTACCTATTAATTGTCATTTAAGTGAAATTACTGAACTTATACAAGCTTGGTGATAGAAGAACATTATAGAATAAGATTTTCAAATGGCATTTAGAGGCTTTTGCATCTTCAAATATAACTGACATGGTTGCACCAAAATGAACATATCTTATAGGGCATTTTCAAACCTGAACTAAACCAATCTATTACTTACGGAACATTATCTTCGAAGCTCCTCTTCTCTCCACGTCCTGCCCAGTTCAATGACGAAGCCAGTTTGTTGCTTAAAATGTGGCTCAACATTTTTCTTATAGTGCCTTCCAATTTATGCCCACCTAGAAGTGACAGCTGGTAAATCTAATAAAAAGGGGATCAGTGTTAAAAAAATTATGCCCAATTAAATGCACACAAAAATACATTTTCTATTAACCTTTCTAAATAGACTTTATCTGAGCCATACATACAGTATGTTTCTACAGACTTTTTTTTTTTTTTTACTTTTCTGTTGATCTCTCTTCAAAGTGCATCCACAGACTGGACTATGTTTATATATTTATTTTCAAACATAAATGGTGTCAAATTCATTTTTTTCTGTTTCTGGGTATATTTCCTGGGATGTCTCTAGAATTTACTCAGATTAGTGCCAAAAAATAAAAACATGAGAGGACAACAGAGAATGGTCTGACTCGTTCAAACTGACAAAGTATACAGTAAATTAGAAACCCACTTTACAACTGTAATGAGAAAAGTATCTTAGCATGGTATTTTTAGATTTCCAAACCTCTCTGTAGATTTGTTTTCAGACCATATGTAGTATAAATGGTTGTATCCTATTAAAGGGATAGTTCACTTTGAAATTAATTTTTGATATGTTTTAGCTTACCTCAAGGGCATCCAAGATGTAGGTGTCTTTGTTTCTGCAACAGTTTAAATTTTGATATTTTTAGGTCAAAGCGTTCTTGTCTGTAAGTCATATAATGGAGGTCTATGGTCACCACCTCAAAGAGCATGCACTATGGGATGAATATAGTATCAAAATGATCAACACGTGCAAGCACAATTATCAATGAACTTGATACATGTTGTAGAAATGTTTTATCCATGCCTTTCAACTTGCGTGTGCAAAATTCAAAATTGAATGAATGTGTAGCAATTTGTACAAATAGAGAAAATTGTGTGAATACATGTTTTCTTTTGTGGTGTATCATAAATTGTGCATGCGCTGGAAGTGATCTCTCTCGCGTGTTGTGCATCACTCATTGTTTACACAGAGATTTCAGAAGTTTTACCTTTCACTGTGAAGATCTAAACATATTTCGATATACAGGAAATCGCAATGGAAGATTATTTCAATATATATCAACAGACAACGTTGAAGTTTTTCCGCAACCTTGCGAGAGATCACTTCCGGCGCTTTCTGGCGCTTGAGCAGACCGAAGCGCCCACGCCCTCAGATCACTTGGACGTGGCTGTGGTTACAAGAGGTAAAAACATCAATGTGTACTAATACATTTTTACGAGTCATTAAATCATGTTTAATTTGGACTTCTCTGTGCATGCTCTTTGAGGTGGTGACCATAGACCTATATGACTGACAGACAAGAACGGTTTGACCTAAAAATATCAAAATTGAAAATACTGTGGAAACAAAGACACCTACATCTTGGATGCCCTTGAGGTAAGATAAAGCATATCAAAAATTAATTTCAAAGTGAACGATCCCTTTAATCAAAATGGTAGCATTATTTTCAGGATTATATTTCTACTGTATATAGTACAGTCATCTCTAATAGTTTCTGTTTTTATGAAAACTGAATGGGGCAATCGTTTAGAACCATAAATATTTTTCAGTAATCTTTATGTTATTTTTTCCATACTTATCAAGACCTGGAAATTAAATAAAATTCCATATTTTTCCAAACTGCGTAGGAACCCGGTTAAATATAATTGCATTACAAGACATACCAATCTATTTTTTTTCGGTCTCATCCAACCTCTCCAATTCCTCAAAATCTTCAAGAGATTGTAAAGGTAACTGCAAGCCACATCTTATTTCCTGATCAGGTACAGCAGGCACTCCCTGTAAGTTTTGTATCATTGCTCTCTGCTCTTTTAGCTCTGCCTTAACTTCCATGAGAAGTTTAAGCACATTCCTCTTGAAAGGAGACAACTCTACAAATAAAGTAGACAAGTAAATAAATATATTAAGAGAGAGAAACTCTACTAGTTCAGTAATAACCCTAATCAGAAATTACTAACAGGTTTAGTGTTTAAATTAATACTTGAACATGGAATTTTTGTTTTTGATTTATTACCGTTGGTATGTTCATTCCCCTGCGATGTTAGTTGTGCTCTTGGATTTTCTGAAGAAAACACAACAGTTTTTTTAAACTTCTTATAAGTTCCTAAAACTCATCTGTAAAACAATTAGTCTTGAAGAGGTTAGCAGTTTGAAGAATCAGCTGAAAAAATGTCTGAAACAGTCAGACTGGAGTTTTGGTTCATGTATTTTTCTTTAAAAAAAAAGAGTGACAGTAAATACTAGCAGCAAAAGATAGGATGGATGTCAACATTTATAGTATAATTATATTTTAGCCTGTAAGTCCCACCTAAAAGGACATAATAATAATTAAAAAATGACATAAAATCAACATAAAGGCCAAATAAAAAGTTCCAAATAACTGTTTTCAAAATAAATTAAAAAAGTCATTACCATTGACCAGTTCAGTCAGTGTGCCCTGATGTGCTCCGTACTGTGATCCCTGGTGTGCTCTGTTGTTTGCGTCTTGGTATGTTCCCTGGTGTGCTCTGTTGTGTGGTCCCTGGTGTGCTCCAGAGTGTGATCCCTGGAGTGCTCCGTTGTGTGATCCCTGGTGTGCTCCATAGTGTGATCCCTGGTGTGCTCCGTTGTTTGGGTCTTGAAGTGCTCCGTGGATTGCCTCTTGGTATGTTCCCTGATGTGCTCCATAGTGTGATCCCTGGTGTGCTACATAGTTTGTGCCCTTGTGTGCTCCGAGGTTTGTGTGGTCTGACCCCTGGTGTGTGCCCTGGTGAACTCTGTGTGAATTTTCTGAGAGAAATGTGCACAGTTTATTTTTAGACATGAAATGCTTGTGTTAAACTGACAAGACAACCAATGTTTAATAGACTACATTTCAATAATATATACCAGCTGAAGTGATGTCTGATGCAGGACTGGAGGCGTGGTAGTTCATGTGTCTCTCTGAAAAAAATTAGCAAAAGACATTAAAGGTTATGAAACAAAGGGCAAACTTTTGCGCAATGTTGCAGGGTAATGTTTAATCAACTGGTAAGCAGGTGAGATACAGGGCCCACAAACTAAAGTATCAAGATAGAAATTTAATTAAAAAAAGATATTTCAGAATTTGTGGAGCTGGAAGTGCATTTATTACAGCTGTGATACAATGTAAAAGAGGCATTGAATTGAATTACATAAACACATACCAAGTGAAGAGAGGTTTGAGACAGCTGGACTGGTCTCAAAGTTCATGTGACTTTCTAAAAAACAAAACAAATGAACAAGTGTAATTAACAGCAGGGTTTTGAGTAATGAAATTGTGTGCTTTGAATTCATTCAGTCATGTTTGAAAATCACTAAAGGCGGACATTTGTGAACTTTCTCAATTGTTAGATTTTAATGATGTTGCTCTTAAGGACATTTTTATAATGGGTTAAATTAACCATACGTTCAAGGATGCAAGGGGGAAGAATACATTTTTCCCTGGCCCAATATATAGATTATGCCATGCTGCAGAGCCTGTTCCTATCATGCCTGCCACACCAGGGCCAGTTGGTGACGGCTCCAGCATCCCTGACCAGCGTCCAGTGACTTATACAGTCCCGTAAGGCCGCTCCATTTCACAAACCCATAGCTTCTCCCAAGAACATTTTGGGGGGAGCTGTATGTTCATTCAATTTTATGGCAGGTTCAGTGCATTCCAAATTAAATTGAACTAAATTTTCTTGTGAAGTTTTTTGGGGAAAAAGTTTGAATCGCCTTGAAATTCAGGGACATTTGATCATGAATACCTTTTTTTTTTTTTTTTTAAGTAACCACAAAAACAGTTTAATTATACTTCCACAATACCTGGAAAAACAATTGCGGGAGGAGCTGCGAGCCGTGATTTTTTTGGTGCATCATCATCCTGGTCAGATTCATTTTCTATAAAGTTTAGGAAGCGTGGATTAGGCCTGTAAAGTGAAACATTCAAATTACTTCTCAATAGGACAACACTTATAAAAAAACAAATCATCGGTATTTATTATCATTAAGTTAACCTTTTCTTCCTTTTTATTCTTTCATGGCCCTCTTCATCAGAAGTTATTTCTGACGTATGGATATCACAGTCCACATACTTTTTTAGCATCTTCTGTGCTTTTTCTAGGGTTTCTGTAATATAGATATGAATAATATAATATAAAATTGAGCAAAGCATGTAGTATCAGTGCATAGAGATAATAATAATAATTTTTAAAAAATCGTACCACACTTTTTGAGCAATCGGACAGGCTCAAAGACTTTCCATCCATCTTGGACAGGCTCTTTTCTCTTTACTGCTGCCTTTAATTTTGCTTGGTTGTAATTTGGCCAGTAGCACTTTTGTTCAAAAAGCCAATTATCTGGGACAACATCTGTGCTTTTGTCTGGAAATTCTATTAATGAGTAACATGGGTTCACTTTATCCATTACTGTCTGGGAAAGATAAAAAAAAATTGAGAAATGTTGACCCCAGCTATGATTAGTTCTGGGTTGCTGCATGTTCAGCTCCCTTACCCATACCAATCACAGTGGAGTAAGAGTCATGCATGAATTAATTTATTTGTATGTAATGTAATGTAATGTAATGTATTTATTAGTATACAATGAAAAAAAACAGAAAGAGTGGGTGTTGCATCACTTAGAAAACAAGTGAAATTTGTATTTTCTCAAAGTTCAGTCACTACAACAAACTACCCATTAGTTTACTCAAAAATTAATATTCTGTCATCCTTACTTTATCTTAGAAAGACATATTTAGATATTTTTTTTAAAGATTTTGGTCACTCCAACGACAGTACTACAGATAACCAAAACGTTATAGATTAAAAAGCCTAGATTAAATCTTTCCATCGTATTCATATTTATACTTTGTTCAAGAGTTAGATTACACCTCTCAATTCATTTGGATTTGTTTCAATGTTATGACATTTTTTGATCTAAAGATTTGGTGTCTGGACTGTCAATAGAGTGACCCGAATCTCTCAGATTTCATTAATATGAAAATGAACGAAAATCTTATGGCTTTGGAGCAACATGAGAGTGATGATAGAATTTTCATTTTTTCAGGTTAACTAACTCTCTATGATACGGTACTATATACAGTATTTTGAACAATTTGTTTCCACTTTTTCAATATGTTATGTTTATTTAACTGTAAAAACATTTCCAGAAGCCTGACACTACACCATACGTGCTCACTCTGCTGAACAAACACTATCTGCAATGGAGAAGGGGTATTGCAAAAAAAACATTCTCGTTTTCAGGAAGAAGTACATACTTCTGTTTCACACTGGACAAAGGTACGATTTCAGTCTTTTCTTGCAAGACAGAAACTCTGTAACATCCAAGTGCAGAAGAGTCGCATGGGTATGTGTAAAATGATACTCGTTTTAGGAACCTCTGGCACACTATATGAATGCTTTCATTCTGTTTGATTATGTCCTTAACGATGGCTATGTCTGTGTCGATTTTGATACAGTTGTCTTCTTTTATTGGGTGACAGAACACAATTTGACAAATGCACCTTTTTTAGCTCTTTTGAACTTGATGAGAGAAGTAGATCTCCATTTGGTTGGTGAGATTCTTTTGGAAGCATTTCTGAAAGTCTTTTGACAACCTGCTGTAAAGGTCGATCTGGTTTTCTAACCAATCGTTTCAATCCACCCAGGTAATTCTCATATGGAAATGCTGAAATATTATCAAGAGGGCCGAACACTTTATACTCGTCTGCAAGATGGATAACCTGGTGGACATTGTAAACCACTTCATCTGCGCCGTACAATCTGATGAAATGTGTTACAAATGACAACAGAGCCTTGTTGGCAAATTCAATCATTGAATCAGAGAGGCCAGGACTAAGCAGCTGAAACATGCCAACAGAAAACAGAAGAAAGTTGTCATAAATTTCGGATTCAACACATCCTTTTAAAACAACGGGACCCGTGTATATCATGAACTGGCGGAACTCTGTGGCCTTCCATCTATCCACATCTGTCAAAGAACGAGGTTTCCTGGCAAACTCTTGAGGCATAAACGAACGGAGAGCAATTAGTCTGTCAGAAATCTGTGTGATACGCTGTGATGACAACCTTGTTCTAAGCTTTTTCCCTTTCATCCACATTTGAATTAATCTCCTCATCACTCCAAGACAGCAGGTGTGCATGTAGTCTAACGGGAATTGGGTTACCATTTTTACTAGTTCGTGCAAGGGGCTTAAGGTATTGTTCAAATGGTGTTCTTCATTTGTCATCATTTCATAATCCATGTCAGTACGCAGTGGAGCATCTGTTTCAGGATATGTCATTTTATTAGACCATACTCCAGTCTGGGAACATTTGTCACAACCAAAGTAGCCATTGTGAGACTTGACATTTTTGAGGAATGCTCGTGCAGGGGCGTCGCAAATAAAGGAGGAGACAACAACTTTGAAACGAGTACCATTCTTTACAATGCCTTCTCGCAAAACCACTTTTAATTCTGCAATGAATTCTCTCAAATACTCACAGACTGAGCTCGGTTTACTATTGCCACAGAACAAACCGATTACAAATGGGGATCGTGTTTTATCACAGTCAACTGTTGCAAGAATTGGCCAAAATTGTCTTCCGGAGCTTTTAAACAGGGGGATGCCATCAATATTAAACTGCAATGCAAGAGTTTGGACATATTCAGAAATATTGGAGATCCTACCTAATATGTTTTGCAAGCCATTTACCAGGCCAAAATGGTAATATTCGCCATTGCAAATGTTTACCACGGGTACATTTGTCTGTGTATCAAGAAGAGTCCTTGCATCCTTGGGCAAATCAGGAAATTCTGGTCTTAAGATTGCCAATAGTGCTGTTAGAGCTACTAGAGGGATGCAAAAAGATGCTGCCCATGTTTGCAGTTTAGTTTGCAACTGATTAAGTGAATTGTTGCTACTGCTGTCAGATTCTACATTTGTTTGGATGCTGCCAGGATCGGAGAGATTGTCAGAATCAGAGATGAAATCAGACTCCGTGTTTTTTTCCAGGTCACATGAGTTCTCATGTGGGGGCAAAAGAGAGGAAACTGCATCACAAGAGGATATATCACCACTTTCAGTGTCTTGACGTGTGTGACCATGAACACTAGAGTCATCAGTGTTTTCAGTTTGTGTTTTGTATTCATCCAAAATCTCTTTTTCTATCTGTTGTACACTGGCCAAAGTCTTTCTCCTTTTAGTCCAATAAGACATTGAGTGTTATTGTCAGTATCATATATTTCGTTTTGTAAAAATTAAATGTACAGGTATTTTGTTTTCATACAATCTAGTTGTTAATTGATGTGTTGTCACGTGTAAAGTGGTGTTTATAATTATTTACTTCTCTAGCATCTGTTCCTTTGGAAAATCCTCCTGAAAGACAAAAAAAGAACTGTATGTTATAGGGATGATACAAATTACAAAAATATATTTTTATATTTATATAAACTTTATTTTAAGAAAACTAGTCTTCCGGGTTTTGATGCACTCT